GCCTGTTCAGGGCAGCCGAACATAGGAGAGGCCTGTTCAGGGCAGCCGAACATAGGAGAGGCCTGTTCAGGGCAGCCGAACATAGGAGAGGCCTGTTCAGGGCAGCCGGACATAGGAGAGGCCTGTTTAGGGCAGTTGAACGTGAGAGAGGTGTGTTCAGGGTAGTCAAGCATGAGAGAGGTGTGTTCAGGGCAGCTGTACGTGCGAGGGGCCTGTTCAGGGCAGCCGAATGTGGAAGTGGTGTGTTCAGGACAGCGGGGCATGAGAGAGGCATGTTCAGGGCAGTCAAACACGGGTTCAGAACTGCAACATCAGGTGACAGAAAGCTGGGACCATAAGGGGAATATACCAGATGGGGACTCTGTTAATACTGTATGTTAAAAAGTCAAAATCTGAGTATCTTTTACTGTCAACTTCAGATATATAATGCGTGGGTCAGACACTGAAGTGACACATTGGTTTCAGTGGCCAAGGTGCAAATTTGAAGGTAACAAACCGAATATAAATACTCAGACATATAAACATGACATTTCAAGGTGTGGATCTTAAGACAAAAGTTTATTGGTGGGGAAAGATTGTGCAAATTGGCATGGAAGCAGACTGTGTGATGGATTTCATTTCAGAATGATCACACATACCTCACTCGTGCAGATAGAAGATGCTCTTACTGTTTCCATAATAATCCATAATGCTAAATGACATCCCATAATGGCAGCGTTTGGGGGATTCGCCCCGTGGCTCGTCCGTCTTCGTCACTCCGGCCGTGGGGGTGATCTCCAGGTCGGGGGGGCATCATCCTGCTGAGGGTGACGCCCTCAGGGGCTCAGGTTGATGGATGCGGCTGCCCCCCCCCCCGCATTTAATCTTACTGTGCTATGAAACATCTTTTCAGTTAGCACCTTTTGTTTATATTTAAGTTAATTGTCTAGTTACAAAAATCAAATGAATACATAATTGTGTGTGTGTGTGTGTGTGTGTGAGAGGAGGTGTATTTACTGAAAACCGTTACCTTGTGGGGACATTTTTTAGGTCCCCACTATACAAACCTCTAAATTCTAAAAACCTGTGAATGCAATTAAAAAACCTACAATAGCCAAAAGCCTTGTATTTTGCCTGGTTAATTATGTTTAAGGTGACGGCTGTGTAGGGGTTAAGGTTAGGGCTGGGTAAGGTTAGGGTTGTCACAGTTAGGGTTAGGGTTATGCCCTTAGAAATGAATGGAGAGTCCCCACAAAGATATAGAGGAGTGCGTGTGAGTGTGTCTGTGTCTCCATGCCGGGGTAAGGGGATGGATGCAGGAACGGCTGCCCCTCTGACCAGGGTGCCCTAGGTTTCCTGTTGCCTCAGGACTGGCTTGTTTTATAATGGCTCCTTTCTCCTCAGATCGGACATAAGAAAGGTGCTCGCTCTTCTCCTGGTCTCCCCCTTCCTACCTCCTGCCGGGCAGGGGAAGCGCAGCACCCTGCTGGGCTTTGGGGGCTCCGAACGTGAGAGTCGGAGCCCCAGCCAGCAGAGAAGCATCATCCCCGAGGTCAGGCAACTCTCTAACCAGCCCCAGATGTGGCCTAATTAGCGGGCCTGCAAGACGCTGTGGCCACGCCGCTCTTGGAGACCACGCCCTGCCTTTGGGTCGGTCCGTGATGGCTGACGCAGAAGCAGAGGGACAAAGAGCCCAGTGTGAGCAAGGGCCGGGCCCCTGAGCACTTACGGGTCACGGCAAATGGAGCGACCGGTGCGAGGCAGGGCCAGCGAGGGCCAAACCATTTATCTGGCTGCACGTTCACGGGTAGTCCGGGCAGCTTTCAAATGTGAGAGAGAATTTTAATTATTTTTTTATATGTATATTTTGAAAACCAATACACAGCCCTACTAAAGTATGGTAGCAGGACAGAATAGTTTGTTATTCCCACTCTGACTGGCACTGCAGTGAGGTGCAGTGTCCATGCAGTGTGGCACAATATTAATGCAGTGAGGTACAGGATCTGTGCAGTGAGGTACAGTATCCGTGCAGTGGGGTACAGTATCATTGCAGTGAAGTACAGTATCTGTGCCCAAAAAGCCTGTACTCTGCATTTCTCCCATCCACAGAGCCTCACAAGAAGCTGTGATCTTAGTTAGCTGTTCCTGCCATTACCCTTACCTGTCCTCTTTTGAACTCTCATATGCCTCCCATTATGTTATGCGGATTATAGTGGAAAGTTCTAAAAATTCTCTATCAGCTACTCAGCATTGTATGGAGTCCCTAAAAGGACATTAGCAAGCAAATAAATCCTTTGAAACTTTCTGGTGCTCACATGACACTGTGAAGGATTTTTTTTGTTTGCCAATGTCCCTCTAGGGGCTCCGTAGCATGGAATCTACCTGGAATGTTCTGAAAATGGGTACATTTGAAAATGTCATTACCCAGGTCACAAAAGCAAAGTTTGAAGAGAAAAATAGGTCTTTTCCATTTACTTTAGGCATAAACAATTGGGAAATAACACTTTCTGCCTAGGAACAAGAAAAAGTTTACATTTTGCTAAATAGCGTAATCAGATCTGGTGACTGTGCAGACCGTGGAAGATGTTCAGCTTCACTTTCATGTTCATCAAACCACTTTGTCACCAGTCTTGCTGTGTGTATTGGTGCATTATCATCCTGATGCACAGCACCACCTTCAGGGTACAATGTTCAAACCACTGGATGAACATGGTCCTCCAGAATGGTTCGGTAGTCCTTGACAGTGATTGGCCTTTTTAGAGTAGTGGGCCTAGGGAATGCCATGATATTCCAGCCCAAACCATCAGTGATCCATTCTGGGTACACAGCGTGCAGGATGGGGTTACCGTGGTGCTTCTCCACACCGTAACTCTCCTAGATGTGGGAATGACAGGGAAGGTGGACTCACCAGACAGCACGTTTCACATTGTCTACAGCCCAAGATTTGCACCACTGAAGCAGACATCTGACACTCCTGATTGGAGCTCCTGATGAATAATTTTGGTGGAAACAGAACAGTCGAGGTGCACATTTGTCTGAGTTGGGCAGGTGTGGTTTTATGATTTTTGGATACAATCCGGATTAGTACCCGGACATCTTTCAGACAAATTCCTCTTGCATCCATAGTTACTCCTGTTGGATGTGGTCCGTCTGTTGTGGTGATATGTCCACATTACCCTGGATACTGTGGCTCTCGACACAGCACAAAGACTTGTTGTCCTGGTCAGAGACGCACCAGCAAGACACGCTCCAACAATTTGTCCTCTTTTTAACTCTCTTATGTCTCCCATTATGTTATGTGGATTACAATATTTTATTTACAGCCGTGCTTTTGCCTTGGTAATTCAACCTTTACACTCTGCTCTTACTGATGGAATGTGCAATCAGTGAAGATTGGCCACCATCTATAGGTGCAAATCTTAAAACACTGTTGGCCAGTGTTTCAGTTTCATTGTCCAATACCTGTAAGACTGGCCTCTTAAAAGTTATTTCATAGCAGAATGAAAATCACAGGCTGTAAAGTTAAATGGAGGCCATCAAGCATTTAAACACTGAAATCTTCAAAAATACATCAAACACACTAAAGAAAATAAAGCTTTTATTGTAACATGAGTAGCTGGTCATTACACAACCTTTTTGGCAATTAGAATATACTCTATGTATTAAGCTTTTCACAATATATTAGTTTTATCAATAGCTTTAATTACAGGTTGAGGAAGAACAGTCTTGAGTCATCCTGCCCTCTGCTGGCAGGTTACGGCACGCTCACACTGTGATTGGCTGGTGCTCCCAGATGCACGGCTGTTGCATGCCGTAGGTACACAGGTCTTGGAAGATATGTGCGTTCTGCTCACTATGGATTTCTGCTGGAAGCTCTGGGTTTCCACTGCCCTGTAAGGACCTGTGGCTGCTGACAGTGTCCAGTAGCTGCTGGCAGTTCATGGGTGTGATCTGCAGGGGGCAGCAAAGGCATTGCATGTGAGGAGCTTTTCCTGAAAGATCTCAGTATCTGCTGGTGGGGCAGACAGCTTCATCCAAGCCATAGCCTAGTAATGTCACATATGAATATCTGACAAAAATTAGTTACGCTTATTTCAGGTACTCTATGTTTTTACTAGAGCTGTCACTATCGATATCAATAATTGAGTAATAAACCGATTAATCTGACGATTCATTGAGTAATCGTAAATTTATAACACATAATTTATGCACATGACTGGTGGAACAGTGCTACCCACAGTGGCACAGAGACTTACAGCATGTGTGGTGCTAATATCGATACGGCATTTCACACACATGCACCTGTCACATGGCAAGAGTTGCGATACTCTTCTGGGTTCAAACCATCAATAAGTTGCACTGAAACATTTTGACTCAGAACTTAGCAAGCTTTCCAATTTTAATGATGGTTCTAGTATACGTTTAAAAAAAACAAAAAACAATCAGATCTACAGTTTCCCGCCGCTGCTTCACATGATCTCGGCGTGTGCCCTCCGTCTCGTCATCACAATTCTCATCCTTGCTGTTGTGCTCACTCATGGACTTAATGACCCCAGTTGGGATTAAGTGGTTATGGGGATGTATGGATGGATGGATGGCTGTTAATATATTGTTCAAATTTGCCTTATAAATAAAAAAACGCCATACACTGTACTTTGTTTTCTACTTAATTTTTTTCATGACTGGCAGTTCAGGCCAGAATCGTTCTATCACTGGTATCGGAAAAATCCCAAAGGTTCCCCATCCTTACTTCTCACCTGAATCACAATCAGCTTACTCTTGGCACTGCTGACATCATGAAGCTCTTCTCCAAAGCACAGGGTGACGGTGGGGTCTGGCGCGGGGTACAGGCCGTCCCGGAAGGCCTGCAGAGCTGCAAGGGAGCACAGATCTGGGCCTCAGTGCCGAGGTCCGAGCGCCGGTTCTGCCATCACGGTGCGGCGGCCTTCCCCAGCCCTTTACCTCGCAGAAACTGGTTGGTGTCGAAGATCTTGACCACGGTTTCCCGCTGCAGCTTGCGGGGCCCGGGGCCGCCCTGTGCGTAGGCGCTGCTCCAGAAGATGCGGCTCAGGCACAGGCGTTTGATGAAGATGCCCGCGTGACTGGCCTGCAGCAGCACGCCGCGCTCCAGGTGCCCGAAGAGCTTCTGGGTGAGGTGGCGCTGCCGCTCGGCCTCGATGCCGTCGATGGGGGGGAAGCCAATATTCTGCAGGCCGCCAGCACTCAGGGGTGGCTTCTCCAGATTGGGGGTGATGCGGCAGCCCTCTGGGTGGCTGCACAACGTCCTACCCGCCAGCTGCCCCCCGTAGAAGAAGGTGATGGTGACTGCTGACGGGGCTGCGGACAGGACAGAGAGGGCGTGAGCGAGGCGGGCGCAGCAGGCTTGGGACTCGGGAGCGCCCCCTGCAGGATGATCATGACAGAAATATACCCACCTTCATCAAAAGCTGGCATGGAGGTAGGGGGAAGTAGGGCTGTAAGGACAACCAAAAAGTATCACAGAGAAATTTGTCGCTGGCAGGCGAATTCATTCCACATTAAACTTGTTTTTTGTGAAACTGACACAAAGTGTCGCAAAAGCCAAATCAAAACAGCTGGTGTCAGCAAATTGGCCAAGGAGATTAGCCAACATCGCTGTGACCAGAAAACCCCGAGCTGAGGTCGACACATCTGATTTTCAAACTACAAGGCAGGTCTTCTGAGAATGCCTCGTACTTCCCCTTTCGGGCTGAGCCATTCCTGACGCTAACAATAGCACAACGGCTCGATTAACACCCATAAAAAGTGAACGTGCACATAAATGAAATGACAGGGTGTCGCTCGGACTCAGCGATGCACTTACACAAGTGAGGTGGGCTGCGGTCTTCACTGGGTGGAATGACACTGGGGTCCCAGTCTGGTGAGGGGCTCCCTGTCAGGCTGCCCACATAATCCTCAGGAGCCTGTATGGGGGGGGAATGACTTTTTTTTTTTATAGTCACAAAGCAGACTCTTTTATCCAAAGCTAAATACATCTTTGACAAAGCAGGCTCAGACAGTCACTGGAGCAATTGGGTTTTAAGGGCCTCGTCCAGTGGTGGCACCCCTCTACTGATCCTGGGATCTGAACCAGCACAGTGTCCCAGCCTGCTGACCCACACTGTGCCCCCATAATCAGTCATGTCAGACACATAATGGACAGCTTTAAGATAAGCCGGTCGGGGCCGGAGCATGGGCCTCACCTCCTCCATGAGCTCCTGCAGCTCTGACGGGCTGCGCTGCATGTCCGTGACCTCCGTGACCTCCGCACACGCGCCGTCCCTCAGGTTGGCTGAGTTCCTGCCTGCAGGGAATGGGCACGTCTTCTGTAAATCGCAAGCACAGATCCAGCATTCACATGACACTAAGGCCCAGTTCTGGTTTATTTACTTCATACGGCTGTTTCTAGCTGTAATATTCATGCTCAGCGCTTTGCTGTCCCCGCTGTATCTTCTGCACCACACTGTCACCGCGGTTTGTCCCATTGCTCCTCATCCAAATGTCGCATTTTGTTTAGTGGTGTGTTCTGCATGGCTGGTTGGTTATTTCTCCAAGTTCATACTCTTATGTTATTTTTGTAATTTGCTTTATTTTACTTTACTTTAACAAATCCCTTGTACTCAGGCTGCATGTAAGGCCCAAATGGCCAGTCACATTACAACTGTAAGTTGAGAGTATTACAGAGTATAATGTAGTTTGATGAAATGAATGACAACAATGGGCAGCATGGGTGTAAATTATGGGCGGGGGGGGGGGGGGGGGGGGGGTG